TGCGAAACCTGTAGTGTTTTATGGGTGACGTAATCAAAATGGCAGCACCACAAAAAACACACAATTAAAACTGCGTGTTCTGTGAATAGTATAAAAGGGTCCCTCACTCGACTTCGTATTCGAAAAATTCCAGTAATGAACAAATATATGTAGATTAAAGCCGGTATTTTCAGATTATGTTGATTGTAATACATTATTCAAATTACTTATCAGTTTTTGTTTTCTTCTAAAAATAGGCCCCTAACTGGTTAACACTTTCGCTTCATTTAAGTGGTAGTAATATGGATGCCCATGTTGGGAAATCGTTGGACGAGAACCTTGATTATAGAAATATGCAAAACGGGGAGGAGTATCTTCCTTTTGTGGTACGTAGTTTATACAATTATTAAACGTGCATAATGTGTATGGCTTTAAATCCTTTTTTTTTAATATCTTCATTTATACAAGTAGTGTGGATAGTCTTAACTAATCCACGCTTTCTGAAACCGTCCTCCACAAATAAAAAGTAGTGACATCGCGTAAATTCTGTCCGATGTCGAATTACGCAAAACACGCCCACATGTTTCTACTTATTTATTCATTTAAATCTCACTGTCTACGAATCACACAATAGCTTTGTCAGTGTTGGCAATAGGTACAAACAGGGTTTTAATACGCAAAAAATATACAAATATGTGTGCTTAAAACAACTGATTTGTTTATATTCCAACCAACCTTTTATTGATTTTGCACTCTGCGATTCTGGTAAAATTACTAATATCTAGTATTTTGTGCAATAAATTCGATCCACTATTGTAATCCACCATATAGTGTATATGGTACTGCTTAGTTCTTGTGTTTTCAGCATATTCAAAACCATCGCCGATGTAACAGCATGAACATACTTGCAAACACGTGTGCTGTAAGATTTAAGATCTATCGATCATAGTCTTAGAAGTATCCAAGAATTTTATTTGAAAAAAAAAAATATTTGTATTTTGAACGATTTGACAAAATGCATGTACATAGTACCCTTAGTATCTACAAGACATGTGTTTTTGTCCTCGTATCCACCGTAATCGAATGTATACAGTTGTTTGTGTATGATGTAGAATTCTATACCAATCCACGTCTCAATAATAGTCAATAATTGTAACACACATGGTAAGAACATGTTCTAGCAATTTTTGAAGGCATACAGTAGAAATGCATTAGAAGGTCTGTGAAATTTCTAACGCTTTAATCAATGGGTTGTTTGGAATAGCCAGATAGACTCGCCAGTAAACTGATCTGCAGTGGCTCGTCCGTAGGTAAATATATTTTCAGCTCGTAAGTTATAATGTCATGTATTCAAGCAAAAAGTTATAAACATACTTTTTCATATGTAAGCCTTGACAAATAAATAACACTTTCACCCTTATAATGTTGTATTGTATTCTTCTTCTAAATATCTTCATTATTAGCAAATAACGAATGAAGTGCGCTATGTTCTGGGTCTATTATTTCCAGTTTACAATCATACACTACACTTAGCGTCGCCTTCATAGTAGATGACAATATAGCCCTGGTCACATGTTTCTCCCGTTTAAAAAACTTTATAAAAATTGTTCGGAAATCTTTAATCAACATTGGATATATGATAGGATTAATTAGTGAGTTGCAAAAGCCAAGCCATGCTAATGATGTATGCAAATCAGGCTGCATTTGCTGGGTAATTGCTTGAATGAGCAATAATATATGATAAGGTAACCACGTGATTAAAAATGCGCTCACAATAATACCCAGGGTTTTCATTGCTTTTTTTCCTTTCACATTGTCTTGCTTCTGTCTGAACTTTGATATCCACGTTTCGTCTATTTGTTTTTCCGTTACTGCTGGTGCAGTAGCAATACGCAGTGCTTGTTCCCGGGCCGCCTTGAAAATGTGCCCATATGTGTACAAGATCAGCGCAAGTGGGGAGAAGAAGAGTAATATACTGGCCAACAAGGCGTAAGTTCGCGACATGCCGAAGCTACACAGCGATGTCGACGGCACTGACGACTGACTGTACCATTGCAACTGAATCGGCAAAAAAGAAGTCAATATTGCGAATATCCACGTGGAAACGATCAGTATCAGCGCCCGCAGTGGTGTCATTTTCTGTTTATACTTGAGGGGTTGTGTAATTAGCAGATACCGATCTATGCTAATTATACATAGACTTAAAATAGACGCGTTGGTCAGCATTAAATTCAAGGAGGTCCACAGCGAACAAAACGTCGCTCCAAGTAGCCATGATCTGAACACCTTTAACAGCATAGCGGGAGGCATCACAACAATACCGACTAACAGATCCGCCATGGCAAGGGAAACCAGGAAGTAGTTTGAAATAGTATGCAGTGTCTTCTGCTTACACACAGCAATCAGGACAATCGTGTTTCCGAAAATAGTTGCTGCTATTATCAAAGATAACACTAATCCTACGAGGACTTCCTTTGCCACTCGACTATTGTCAGATTGTCTAGTTGCGTTGCCTGAGTCATTCCAGACGGTATCCATGGTTACTGCTTCGTGGGACGCTAACACATCTTTATCATTATATTGTGTTGCATGTGGTTCTTAAGATGGCGATGTGACAGTTTCGTTGTTCAGTCTGAAAGAAATTGATATGCACATAATGTTATATTAAATAGAAGGTATTCGGCGAATACCTCAAATTGTGCACAATACTGTTTCAACATGTAGTTTACAAGGTTATCGGTCCCCACACAAATTATTCTTTTAAAAATGCAACATATCTTATCACGTAAATGTGCACATTATGTCAATCTCTGATACAAAGCGTGTATTTTTATCTTCGAAATTGACAACATTCGCTCACATAACAAATCGAACGCGGGTGGGTTAAATATGAAAATAACTTACATGCAGAAAACTACAAAAATTATTTTTAATGATCATACTTGTCTTATGTAAACCATATAACAATTACTATTTTAATCTTAGCGCCATGTAATGCGGCGACACACTGAAGCAGGGTGTCATTTGTAACATTTTTTCTTACTCACAATCTTATTTCTTATTTTATACATTGTGATACAACTATCTTTGATTCAAAGATTGTTACATAATTATGAAGTAAAATTCCGCTGGCATGTTATGTTACTTATCTTTATTTTTAATTCAATATTTCAAAATAGTTCATATTAGATAAAATTGTCGTGTTCGTGCCAAGAAATGACACATAGTCACTCATTGCGCAATGTTTATTTTTTTAAAAAAAACTTGGTATATACACGACCATATATCGTGTGATATTTGCTGGAATTATAATAGGTGTTATCAAATTGTCAAAAACATATTTCTGTTTTTCAGTGATTAAAGTTTGAATTATTGTACTTAACATATTGTGCGTAAAATGGCTGTATATCTGGCTCGGCAATAGTTTACATAGAACCAGGTATAAAAGAAGCATTTTTCTTATTTGTCTTACAATAAATGTTTATTATTAAATACTGTTTGGTTTACATTGCCGGGGCGTTGTATAAAACGACCACTCGTTAACGAATGCGGATTGATTCCTTAGAACAGTAACATAGGCATACATTAATAGTACAACCTAGACATTTTGCGAACTTCAGAGATTTGTTAGACTGAATGTTCATATACGTAAAGACAGAAGTCAAGCTTAAGAAGGGGGATGTACTTTAATAATATCATAGTACGCGTTACTTATTCAATAATCACATGAATATGATAAAGCACAGCTCATCCAGCTCATTCATTACGCACACATTTCCAATAACCTCACAGCCATATTATACATTCATATTAACCAGTATTATTTTTACTTTGTTTGATTCGTTACCCCCACCGGCTGTATAACATTGTTATGTTATAACCATGCTGTCACGTAACTGGGTTTTATTGAACGTGGTTGGTATTTAAATATACGTTCATCAGAGCGTATTCATTCGTAACGAATTACATGAATACAGATAACACTCGAAGACATAACGACGTAAAAAACACGAGGCAATAATCGGCGAATTGATGTAAGGCTATACATGTTTGATTTAATCAATGACACAACTATATTACACCCTCACATACCGACAGTAATGTATTCACACGACGTTGCAATTCTCATAGCCGAAAAAATGGAAAGCAGGGATATTATGCATGCGATAGTAGCATTGCTTCTAAAATTAAATACAAACAGCATAATCACATAAGTGGTGTGAAAAACACGCTATAAAGCCGATTTAACCACGCAATTGTCTCTTCTGAATTGCCCCCATTAAATACGCCAGACTGCCACTGAAACAGATATTTTTGTTAAAAGTACAACTACAAATCTGAGACTTTGTTATTCTGGTGTCTTATTCAATAACACAATATGAAATACAAGCATACAGACCCTTGCACACAGTTTTTGTCAAACAAGAAGCAATTACATACATGGATACCTAAATGACCTCGCGTATCGATACACATTCTAATTATAGTGAGAAGTCGCCTTTCATGTGTGTGGGAGAAATAGTTCAATATGTGGACCTTGAAAGGGCTTAGACCGTTTGTAGATTATATGTCACATGTCACTTTTTATGGATTCATGTAATCATAAAAGAAAATCACTGGAAATGTTTACAGATTATACAGAGTAGTCTGACTAGAAAATGTATGAAGTGAATGAAGGATTGAATACACTTTCAGTGGCAGAAGATATGGGTAGTCTTGATAAAAAAAAACTCCCTACAAAACAAATTCCATTGCGTCAGACTCATTTGTGTGTCCAGCTAAGCGCCTTAGATTATTTGAAAAAAATATTGTGTTAAATAACTTATGAAAAGCTTTTATTTGGGCATAATGGTGTGTAGAAATAACATTTTCAATTTAATTTGTATTTAAAACAATATTACCCTAAATACCCTAAATATATATCGAATATGAAACATAAAACATTAGTTTTTTATTAGACGTGATAAAGCCAAAAATGAGCATTAATGACTTAATTTTGCATGTAAAAACACACACAA